GCCCAAGCACTTGGGCCATCCTCCACTGCACTCCCTGGCCACAGCAGAGAGCTGGCCTGGAAGAGGGGCAACCGGGACAGAATCCGGTGCCCCTACCGGGACTAGAACCCGGTGTGCCGGCGCCGCAAGGTGGAGGATTAGCCTATTGAGCCGCGGCGCCAGCCAAATAAATCTTTTTTAAAAAAAAAAATTCTGAAGATGAGAGGCAGTTTGTAAAAGAAGAACTCCATTTATAGTCTTTCAGGGGAAATACAAGGGTTAGAACCTGTGGAGTGAGTGGCAAATGTAGGCTACCACCGAGACTTTATCATCTCCCTTGCTTGGCAAACCTGAGGCCTCACACTGCACACCGTGTCTGGATACACAGGAGTGTGCTTCAGAAAGTTCATGGAAAAAAAGGATTAAAAGAAAGTTTTATTTTGGTGCAAAAAAAATTTTGCATAGTTTTTTTTCCCACAATACACATTTTCCATGAACATTTAGAAGACCATTGCTAAAGCTACTAACCACCATGGCCAACCCAGATGCCCCATGTTGGTGGCAAGGTCAGCCACTCTAGCCAGTGATCCCATCTCTCAGGTTCTTTCCCCAATGTTATCACTTAACTACAGACATACTCCCTCGTCCACCCATACAGCAAAATCTATAGTACAAAGCAGGCAAAGGTTATCTAAAAGCCATCAAGACACTCCTAGTAGAATTTCCACCCCTGCTCACACACCACCTAGCACTAATAGAATCTCTCCACCTGCTCACACAGATTCTCTTCCTGAATTTATAGCCTCATAGTAATGGGCAGAACCAGCTTTCTTGGGGAACTTCACACAAAGGAGAAAGCTGCTATGTTTAAGGTGTCATCTGCTATCCCATTTACTTCCTGCGTTGCCACTGACGCTTCCACTCGTGGGTTTTAACAGTGTTAGAGTTTTTGTTGCGAGCCAATAGAGGAGCTTAGCAAAGAGACACTGGCTGAGAGTGGAAAATGCACAGAGAACAGATGAGATGATTTTCACTTACAGAGCAAGAGCCTCCTGGAGCTAATGATCCTGTGTTTGTGAATCCCAGAAAGGCTGTCAGTCCTCAGATTCCCTGGTCAAAAACTCCGAAGCCGAGGGGACACTTGTCCCTGGACCCCTTTCTTCTACTCAATAATGGCGTCTCCCCAGAACCTCAGCAGAAGGTATATTTGGACTGTTTGCCCTGAAAGTAGTCTGTTGCACTGTTGCCTAAGTACTCTCTTGAGAGTCCCTGAAACTAGAAGGGAATGAACCTGAACCTCGCAGTTTTGAAGCCAGCAGCTCAGCACCCTTTTGTGCTCGGAACTGTGAAGCTGACTTTGAAAGGAAGGTCAGTATCCAAAGCAAATTTTATCAGGACTTAAACTGGGTAACAGCTTCATCTTGATCACTCTTCCCTCGAATGAGAAGAATTTTATTCACATTTTGTAAAAAACAGAAGAGGGCCCAGACATTTAATATGAATTATCTATCTTTCCATGCTGTATGCCAAGTCTTCTGGCTTTTGGATCAAAACCTGAAGCCACAAAGCTGGGTACTATCTGTTCCCTTGTTCTTATGGCCGTATTCTGCTCTAGCACTTCCTAGTTAGTCTTAACGCTTTGATATCCTTACTGGACCAGAAGAAGCTTGGGACTGCTTTCCAACTCTTTTAGAGCTTTAATAAAATACCCTTATGAAGTCAAGTTTAGGGTTACTCAATTTTGGAAAAAAAAGGCAGACATACTTCCATTATGGCTCGCTTCCTTTGGGGACAGAGGCTGTTACCTTGTCTAGCAATGCTTAGCATTTAAGTATGAGGTTTGTGATACTAAAGGCTGAACACATGGCAACTCTGCCGACTCTGGCCTTTCACGACATGCTCTGGGTATGTGGGCACTCAAGCAATGAAAACAAAGAATCAAAATGACCCAGGTGAAGAGGGCAAGAGGGTGACCCCGGAAACAAAGCTTCTAGAGACTTTAAGAAACTGTCCCTTCCCCCTAAGGGCTTGGCTGGTGTTCTTCCTTTAAACAGTACCTATGCACGTGCCTAGTGTTGCTTTACATGAGAATGGCCATCATCACCATGCGTCGTCTTGGTGCTACCTGGAAAAGCCAGGAATGGTTTCTATTCATCTTCCAATGTTTTACCTCCAGGTCTGTCAGTACTGCCAGCAACACCAAGCCTGCCCCATATCAAAAGCAGAGTGTTGATACTCTTGCTAGTTGTTGGGCCTAGCCCAATAGCTTTCACAAAACCTGCCTTGTTCTAGACTGGCCTTAAAGAATACGTGGTACTCCAGCTCTTAATCTTGACCACAAAGCTTGAGGGAAACTACCCGAGACCCCTCCCAGGGATATTACAAAGGGCTATCCAGACTTGTCGAGCTAGCCTCGCTTTCGTTCCTTGCCAGAGTCTTCGTGCCCACCTGCCCTGTCCTAGAGTATTTTGGAGCAGCACCGTGAGTGTGGTGGTATAGAGAAGGGGTAAGTGTAGAAGACCAGGGGCAAGAACATCAGCCCCGAAGGGAATCTGAACGTAGAATAGGAGCCAAGAGCTGGCCTTGTGGCATAGCGGGTAAAGCCGCCTGGGACATCAGCATCCATGTGGGTGCCAGTTTGTGTTCTTAGCTGTTTCATTTCCAATCCAGCTCGCTGCTAATGGCCTAGGAAAGCACTGGAGAATGGCCCAAGTGTTGGGCCCCTGCTGCCCATGTGGGAGACCTGGGAGAAGCTCCTGGCTCCTGGCTTCTCCAGGGCCCAGCCCTGGCCATTGCAGCTATCTGGAGAATGAACCAGAAGATGCAAGATCTCGCTTTTTCTCTCTCTCCTCTTTCTCTCTCATTCTGTTTCTCCTTTCTCTCTATAGCTCTCACTTTCAAACAAATCTCAAAAAACAAAAGCCCCAGGAGCCAGTCTGGAATGGCTGTGGGTCAACATCTGCCTCAGGAAACTCCAGATTCCCTCCAGCGGGAAAAGACCCACCTCTCACACTTCAGAGAAGTTCAAGTTCGCACGGGTGTCTGTTTCAGGACATGTCCCAGAGCTGACATGTGACTAAGGGAAGCATGGGGATCCTCCCCTGCTCTTCATCCAAGGTGCGCCTCCACCTTGGACTGACTCATTTCAACAGTGAGGTGCATTCCTAGCATTCTGCTGGGGAAAGTTAGTCTCCAATGGAGATGCATTGCACCTTTAAAATTCCAAGAATATGAAAGTGCATGCCACAAAAAAATGCACCTTCTCCCACCTTCCCAGGTAATTAGCAGCACCTCCTGGTCACCCTGGGTGTTCTGAAAGGTTACCAAAAAAAGCAGAATGCAGGTCACGGCACTATTTTGAGAATATGCTTAATAAGTTAGTATCACTCACTCATTAATGGCTAAGGTTAGCCTCTGGCAAGGCTCCTTAAGTGGGGCTTTTCTTGGCCTGGACTGGGGTAGCACACCCGTTTCTGTGTTCACTTTGCACTTTGAGGCCTTTCTCTCAGTCCTAGAAGCCAAACGCATGAGAGAGAACGGCCGGTGGGAGCCTGTGGGCTCCTCACTTTCCCTAACAGCTAGCATTTCACAGGCTGCTAAATTACTAGTCCACGGAGCCATGTGACCAAGCTCAGCGCGACCGCGCCGCCGGACCAATCGCAGAGGGCAGGGAAGCCCGTCCCAGCTTCACACGCTCGGGACGGGACAGTCGGAAGCAAAGGGCAGGCGCATTTGGAGCGTTCACAACCCCACGTAGTGCCCAGGAGGCTGCCCGGGATCACACGCTGGCAAGTTCAGGCTCCCTTCGCACACGTGACTGTAGGCCCCCGGGCCTCCCGGGGCCGGGGGGCGGGGGGGAGCCACCCGAGCCAGAGGCTGTGGCGTCGGGATCCAGAGCTGTCCCACATCCCAGCGCTGGGAGTCAGCTCGCCCGGGTCGCGTCTTCAGATCGCTGCCCAACCCGCTCGGAGGGGCTTCCAGTTGCCTGCTCAGGGAAGTTGTGAGGTCCCAAGTGGGCGAGGGAACCCAGGCCCGGGTCGGCAGCCCCAGGGGGCCCGGGAGTTGTCACCCCCCCCCCCCATTCGCCCTGGCTCACAGCCACAGCCACACACCAGCCCCTGCACTACTCTTTGATCTATTGTTCAGAATGGAGGCTAATTACAGCCGCTAGATTAAGACTCAGGTACCCTGGAGGAAGCGTCACTGGGAACGAGGGTCTGCAAACTAACCTGATTAAGTCTGGGTTCCGTGTAGCTACAGGAGAGACGCGAGAGGCTTCCGAACGCAGCCCGGGGGCGGGCAGGGGAGGGGACAAGCACCCAGAGGGGAGTTCTCGTTGAAGCTACACTCTTCTAAGCCGCACGCCAGACAGACGGCCCAGGGCCTGGGGAGTCGCAATTCGGGTGCGCAGGCTGCGCACTTCCCGCGGCTGAGCCGAGCCTCCCGGCTGCCGCCCACCGAACGTGCGCCTGCTCACGGCCGCAGGACGACTCCCTGCCCCGGCCGGCACCTGGCACCCCGCGCCCCTCCAGGCGCCCCCCTTCCTCCACCGTCTGCTCCCACCCAACTGAAGTCCGAGGGGTGCGCCCCCGGCTGCCATGCACCTCTCCAGCCGGCCCTCTGCCTCCTTAACACTCCGCCCGACAGGGCAGGCAGAACCATTGTTCAATGGCTCGGAAGCCCACGTTCTCCAGCCCTTGTCAAGGCGGGGTGGTGGTGAAAAAACGATGCATAACAGCGGCTTTGGGGGACAGCGGGCAGCAGAATACAGACTATTTCAGGTGACGCTTCGGGACACCCCAATCCGTCCTGTACCCCCACACTCCGCAACCGGCCCCCGCAGCCGCGGCGCTGACAGTCGGCTCGGAGGCGCCGCCAGGGTGGGGAGCGAGAGAAGGCGAGCAGAGGCAAGAAGCGCTTCCGAGAAGGGGGTGGGCAAGAGGAGACTGGCGCCCCAGGGCCCCCGCCCGCCCCCCACGCCGCGGCGCCAGGCCTCCTGCGGAGGGGGCGTCCCTACTCACCGGTTGCGGTGGCGCCGCTCTCCCGGAGCGCCCAGCACAGCGCGAGCAGCAGCCAGAGCGCCCGGCGCGCGGACGTGCCCATGGTGCCCGCCTGGATGGTGCCGCCGCCGCTTGCTCCGCACAACAAGTTACCAGCCCTTCGGAGACGAGGAAGGCGTGGGGGCGGGGAGGGGCAGGGGAGGAGGAGGGGGAAGGAGTTAGCAGGGGAGAGGGCGCTGGGAAGCAGAGGGCAGCCCTCCCCGACAACTTGCACGGCCGCTTGCCCACCAGCCAGCCCACCCACCCACCCTCCCACCTCCCCGGGGCTGCAGCGGCAGTGCAAGCCGAGCCTGCGGGCAGCAAATAATGCAGGCGCTGCAGAGGAGGGGAGGGCAGGGGAGGGAGGGGAGGGGGAGGGGGTAGGGAGCCGAGAGCAGAGGAGCAGGCTGGAGAGCGAGGAGCCGGCGGTGCAGCACCCACACTGGCGGCGGCTGGAGCGCGGGGTGAGCGGCAGGGAGGGGGCGGGAGGGGGAGTGGTCAGCGGGGGGCGGGGGCCGCGGCGGCTCCGGCCCTCCCTCCCCTCGACGTGCTCCTCTTACACGCCCCGGGGCAGCCGGTGCCTGGGCCCGGAGTGTGAGAGTGTGAGCTTGCGTGAGTGGCCGTGGCCGTGGCCGTGGCCGCTTGGACTGCTCCCGCGGCCCGGCTGCTCGGCGCGTCCGCCCGGGGCTCACGGGGGCCCGGGGCGGCCGCTGGTTGGCTCGCGCGCCGCCCTCGCCTCCAATCCCCGGTGCCTGTCCTAATTTCCTGATCCAGGGAACCTGCCGCCGCTGCAGCCTTGCGCTCCCTACGGTCGTTACCGTAGGCTCGCGGCCGCAGCGCCTAGCGCTGGTACAGCCACTGCGGCCGGCTCGCGGGGCCGGCAGCTGGGGGGGCCGCCGGCATGTCCACGGCTGCCGCCCGCGCCCCTCACAGAGGCTGGTAGGTAGCATCTTCCTCCGGCCTCCTTTCTCCGCCCGGAAAGTGACGAACAGGAGGGGCTCCGGGCGTTCACGCGGCTGGGGTGTGGGGTCCCAGCTGCCTGGTCCGTCGCCCGCGGAGATGCCATTGTCCTAAACCAGAAATGTGTCTTTAAGTGAGAGGGAGCGGAAGAGTGAGCGAGCGAGCAGTTGTGGTTTGCCCTCTGGAATAGAACGGGACTGAAATAACCCGGTCTGGGATAAGGAGGCGGGGAGTCGCTAGCGCTCAGCTCTGCCTTCTCTCATCAGTGTTGAGAGTTAATTGCTAATTGCACAAAATGATAGTTTGAGGGCCTGTAATTAAAAGCTTAAACCTTTCCTTGTTTGGAAGAGGGACCCGGTAGGTTTATTCTGGATATACTTTGCAACATGCAATGTGGAGGCTCCCTAAAAGACAGAAGGAGCAGAGGCCAGGGCCCCTAGGAGGGAGCAACTCTGGTGCCTGGCAGTACCTCAGCCTATCATTTGACTTTTAAAAGCCTCCTTTGGTTTTCTGGCAGGCTTGCCCCTGTTTGAAGTGTGTTTGTCTGTGAAGCTTCTACGTGGAGTGAGAGAGGACCCCCCCCCCCCCGTTGTTTCACCTTCTTAAATAAAAGGGGTTTTAGGTATTTTTTTAAAAAGTTGTTTTAGCTTTGAGTGACTCAAACTTGGCAGATTTTAGTAAGGTCATCTTGGGTCTCCACGCCTTTGGTGTCTGAGAATGGGTGGGCGCTGGCTGGCTGTGTCCTTGTCCTGGCTGTCCTGGGCCTTTGTCATAGCTAGCCATTAGATAGGAGCTTCATAGGAACTTACCGCACCCTGGAGACAGGGAGGAGAGGAAGTTTCAAGTCAGGGTACCTGTGGCTGGAGCCAGAAGATACCCAGATTGTGGCAGATGAACACGAAGGAGCATTCCTCTCTGGACAGAGGGGGTCTGGCACCAAGGCCCCTTTTGAAACCTGTTTTATCCAGTCCTCTGGTTACATGGCTGATACACACTGCAGTGTCGTGCTCGTGTTGCACGTGAAACTGAACTGAAATGTGTTTTATGCCATTCCGTAGTGAAGATGCATGCTGGTGGTGTTTCACCTCACACGCCCTGGCGGGGGATGGTCATGCCTTCAGTGCACCCTGCCTTCAGTATTCTTGGGGTTCAGAAGGGTCAGTGATGTTGAGTCACTTTGCAGAAGAGGCAGGAGGGAGAAGGGCTGGGTGAAATCTGTATGAAAATGGCACAGCACTACTCAGCAGTTGTCTGCGTATTTTTCAAATTTTTTCAGGTAACTGCACCCGACAAGCTAAACACTGATAGAACGTAGTAAGACTTATCTTTGACAAGCATGCATTATACTTTTCAGCTCTCTGAGAGCTGTAAATAAACTCCTGGTGAACTTAGCTGCAGTCCTGTGTTCAGTCCTGCAGCTTTTTGGTTGAATCAAAAGGAAGCATAACTATTGATTCCACGTCTGGCTGTGTAACTTGGGAAAAATCACAGTGCCTGTCTGCGACGGCCACCTGAGCCAGAGATGCCTCTACTTATAGGTGGAAAACAAAAGCAACACATGACATCAGTGGGCTTGGAGGTTTCAAGAAGCAGCTCTGTGAAGTGCTGGTTATCAGAAGAAAAGGGTCTGGAGGAGGAATGTCTCTGATTGATGCAATAAGTAATGAGTAACCAAAAAGATAACTTGATGATGAGTAGAGGTTGCCTTGGTTGAACCACCTGGGCTCAAGGAGCCTGCTATTGCTGGAGTCCGGAAGGTTTTGGGTAAAAGCATGGGCGATCCATTCATTTCCACATGCATTGTATTCCCGTGTTTGTTGCAGCAGCACAGCATCTGTGGGAGACACACTGTACGAGGCAGAGGCCATCCGGAGGTGTTTCTCTGGGGAAGCTCAGGATGCGGTGGAGACAGAGAAGTGGGCAATTGCTGTGGCCTGTTGTAGTCGAAAGCTGCTTCAGGTGCTGTAAGATGAGCGGGAAAGAGCAGCTTACCTGGCTGCAGGATGGGGACCCCACAGAAGGCCTTGCAGAGCGTTTGTGAGCTGAGTGCGCTCATCGTTTTCACCAAGTGCTTCCAACTCTCCCTGCTTCCACGGCAGGATTGCACCTCCTGGTCCACTGGTAGTGGGGTAGGTAGGAAGATGAACTTTGTCTATTTTTTGAGCAGAAGGTGCAAGCTGCCACTTCCATTCTAGAGTATTCTGTGGCTGTGTGAGACCCTATCTTTTTGCCTGTGACAAGAAACCTTCAAGTTGGCTATGCTGTGGGCCCAGGATTGTGAATGACTAAATTCTTTCAGAACTACTCATCTGAATAGTTCCCTGCTGTCCACACGTTCTCTGGCAAATCGGACCCACAGCCCAAATCTAGTCAGTGACCTGTTTTTGTGTGGCCTACAAATAAGCGTTGTTTTTACATTTTTCAATTGTTATACCAAACAAACCAATGGGAAGGAGGAAGGGCATGCAACAGAGGACATACAACTGTATATTGTTCACGGAGCCTAGAATATTTATCATCTGGCCCTTTACAGGAAAGACTTGCCAACCCTTGACATGGGATGAGTGGGAAATAAATCTTTGTTACCTTCATCTGCTGAGATTTTGTTACCTTAGGGTATCCTGGCATGAACCAGGATGATACACTGGGTAGAGAACAAAGGGGTTCCAAGGTGAGTGGAGGGGGCAGAGGCAAGAGTATCATGTGTGTCTTGGTCTCTTTGGTGTTGCTCTAACAAAGCACCTTGAGGCTAAGTGTTTTATCAAGAAAGGAGGTTTATTGGCCAGTGCCGCGGCTCACTAGGCTAATCCTCCGCCTTGCGGCGCCGGCACACCGGGTTCTAGTCCCGGTCGGGGCGCTGGATTCTGTGCCGGTTGCCCCTCTTCCAGGCCAACTCTCTGCTGTGGCCCGGGAGTGCAGTGGAGGATGGCCCAAGTGCTTGGGCCCTGCACCCCATGGCAGACCAGGAGAAGTACCTGGCTCCTGCCATCGGATCAGCGCAGTGCGCCGGCCGCAGTGCACCAGCCACAGTGGCCATTGGAAGGTGAACCAAAGGCAAAGGAAGACCTTTCTCTCTGTCTCTCTCTCTCACTGTCCACTCTGCCTGTCAAAAAATAAAAATAAATAAATAAATTTTAAAAAAGAGGTTTATTTACCTTACAGCTTTGGAGGCTGAAAGTGTAAGGTTGGTGACCCCCTCTGGCCTGTGGGGAGGGCCCCACTGACTGCATTAAAATTAGAAGAGAAACCAAAAGGGAACAGGTCCTTTGCAGAAGGGAGAAGTCACATGGCAAGGCAGGCAACCCTGAGATTTGGAGGCCAGGCTGGCTCTTATCCTAGTACCCTGCTCTTGTGAGAACCAAATGGGTTCCTGAGAGAACTGCACTAGTCCCAAGTTGGCCCCAGTGAGCTAACCTCCTTTCACGAGACTATACCCGTTAACGGTTCCACACCTCAGCGCTGACACTGGGCGCAAGCTTCCCAGCAAGGAATCTGCAGACATACTGAAATCCTACCCAACCCACTGCCGTGTATTCCCATCAGTTCTGGGGATTCGGAGTGGCTTGAGGGTGGAGTTCAGGTGGGAGGTGAGGTAGAGGAAGGCAAGGGCTAGACTGAGCGGACCTGGAACACCACGCTCATGACGTTTTACCCTGTGAACAATGGCAGACTGGGGAGCAATTTGAGCGGAGGCCTGCCATCCTCTTAAGGTCACTCTGACTATGGTATGAAAGGTGAATTTTGTGGAGGGCAGAGTAGAATAAAACTAGAGGAAGAAAAAGTAGTTAGAGGCCCTGGTATTAAGGGAGGATGTTAAAGAAAAGAGAGGAAGAAGCTACTGTTTGTAGAGTTAGACACGCTCATACAATTCATCCTGGAGATTCTTCTCCCCAGTCCTCTGGCTTTATCTCTTTGAATAATGCTGTCCAGACACATATGATCCATATAAATCACTGGCGATGTCTGATGAAAGTACAGATTGCCAGGGCCCTCCCTTGGTGATCCTGATTGAGCAGGTCCAGGGCGGAGCTCAGGGAACTACCTGTTCCAGTGGATTCTTGCCATTAGCACTGATTAAGAAACTCTTTCAGAGAACGACTGCTTCCACGCAGGTTTGAATTGCACGGTGGCTTCACTTCTGTGACATGTGTGTAAGGTTCTTTGTGCAGTGTCTCTGAAGGGCGTGATTCAGGGCCCATAGGAAATGCTAAGGCTAATGTGTATCGTTTCCTTGTTCAGGACCCTTGGACGCATAGACATGGGCCTCAGAAGTAACCTCCAGACCACTTGGCTGCCGTGCAGCATTGAAGGTCCGCAGCCTCAGCCTAGCAGGTGAGAAGTGAAAAGAGCTAACCCCGTCTCAGATATTGTCATGATGACTTCCCGGGGCCCCGCCATCTGCTAATACCATGACAACCTAATAAGATGCATGGGCAATTCATCCCTCTCTAGGTCCCAGCCGGAGGGCGAGCAGGTGTACGTCACAACTTTTAGTTTCTATCAGAACCTCCTGGAGGACTTGTCAAAGAGCAGCGTGCAGGGTCCCACTGTGAGAGTTTCTGACTTACTAGCTCTGGGGTGGTGCATGAAAAATTTTTTTTTACATATATAGAATTTAATATAGGATATGAGTAGTATTACAAATCAGTCACTAAATAATTTTACATTGAATATAATACTGGAGGAAAATAGATTATCTATAGAGAAAGAAATGGTGTTGGTAGACCTGCATTGTTACCCCAGGTAAAGCCAATGTCTGCAATGCCAGTATCTCATGTGGGCTCCGGTGCAAGTCCTGGCTCCTCCAGTTCAGTTGCAGCTCCCTGCTGGTGTGCCTGGGGAGGCGGTGGAAGAGAGCCCAAGTGCTTGGGCCCCTGCACCCATGTGAGAGACCTGGAAGAAGCTCCTGGCATCAGTGTGGCCCAGCCCCAGCCATTGTGGTCATTTGGGGAGTGAACCAGCAGAAGGAAGATCTCTGTCTCTCTTTCTCTATCTGTAACTCTGACTTTCAAATAAATAGAATAAATCTTTTAAAGATTTACTTATTTATTTGAAAGTCAGAGTTACACAGAGAGAGGAGAGCCAGAGAGAGAGAGAGAGGTCTTCCATCCGATGGTTCACTCCCCAATTGGCCGCAGTGGCCAGAGCTGCGCCAATCTGGAGCCAGGAGCCTCCTTTGGGTCTCCCATGTTGGTGCAGGGGCACAAGGATCTGGGCCATCTTCTACTGCTTTCCCAGGCCACAGCAGAGAGCTGGATCAGAAGTGGAGCAGCTGGGTCTTGAACTGGTGCCCATATGGGATGCCGGCACTTCAGGCCAGGGCGTTAACCTGCTGTGCCACAGCGCCCACCCCAATAGAATAAATCTTTTAAAAAAAAGCAAAGAAATGGTATTGGATGTCTATTCTATTCCATATGGAAATACAAACTTCTTTTTTTTTTAATGAAGATTTACTTATTTGAAAGGTAGGGTTACAGAGAGAGGGTCACAGAGAGACAGAGACTGAGAACTTCCATTTGCTGGTTCACTCCCCAAACAGCCACAACAGCCAGGACTGGGTGAGGCTGAAGCCAGGAGGCAGGGATTTCATCCGGGTCTCCCACATGGGTAGCAGGGGCCCACGCACTTGGGCTATCCTCCCCTGCATTTCCCAGGCCATTAGCAGGGAGCTGACTTGGAAGTGGAGTGGACACAAACAGGTGCCCACATGGGATGCCGGTGGTGAAAGTGGTGACTTAATGTGCTATGCCATAAAGCTGGCCCTAGAAATACAAATTTCAAACTGATTAAGATCTAAATGTGAAAAAAAGCCACATTTATTTGACAAGCACTCATATATACAATACCATTAAGACCTCTGAAAATGGCAAATGTTACTGAACGAGGTAAAAAGCAGAAGCCAGAAGATAAGACATGATGAATTTGACTAGGTTATCATTTAAACAGGTTAATCCCAAACAAAACACACCACCACCAACCGAATCTCTTTTGATTAAAAGCATCACAGTGAATATGAAAGACAATCCACAGGCTGAGTAAAAATACCAGCATCACATGTAATTGAAAAAAATTAATATTTTATATGAAAATGCACGTGTGTGTGCAGGGAGATGATGCAATGGGAAGAATGTGCAATTCTAACAAGTTCCCAGGGGCTTTCTGATGCTTGCAGTCTGGGGACGCAGAAGCCTATCAGCATAGCTTATGCCCTCAGCTAACTCACTATAAAGCCAATTACAAGTAGTTTACATTTTAACTGGCAGTAGATCATATAGGACACGATACAGGATCCATTGTGAACTCATCGGTCTCCTTTATTTTTGCTAAGGGTCAAGTTCAGTTTGTTTTTCAATTCAGAAATGAGATGCTGGACCGTTTAACTTTCTGGGAACTCAGATAATTAATTCCAATGATTCTGGTCCTAAATTTGATTGTTGTCATTTAATAGAAATGTGATTTACAGGAGGTTTTGGAGTGTAGTGCTGATGGCATTTCAAACACTGTTATGACCGGAGTTTCTGTGGAACTAGCAGCTTTGTACCCTGGACTAAGCTAACGAGCTGTGCCTCGCTTATTAGGACTTCAGAGTTTTAATCTGTGAGTTGTGATGATGCATCAAGTTGTTTAAGTGTGTCCAATTTTGTCGTAATCATTGCATTTAAAAAGTTTCCAGAGGCAGAGAGGACAGAGAAGACAGAGACAGGGAGAGACCTCTTATCCACTGACTCACTCCCCAGGTGGAAATCACTCCAGGTCTCCCACGTGGTGGCAGGGCCCCAAGTACTTGAGCCATCACCCAGGCATTCCCAGCGTCTGCGGGAACAAGAAACTGGAGTCGGGGTGGGGTGCAGCACCAGAGCTGGGCAATTAGTATGGCAGCACAGGCTTCCTAGCCAGTGTCTTGGCCTGGGCTGAGCACCTCGCCTGCTGCTGATGGTTCCATTCTAAACTTTTAGGAGATGTGTAGTTTGGTGCATAGTTAAACATGAGTATCTAGTATTTTCTTGTGATTTAAATTCTTACATTACTGCTTGAGCTCCATGAAGGATTGAGTATCTTAATGAATATGTTTCCTTCCCCTTCTCAATTATTTATTTGAAAGGAAAGGTGTGTGTGGGGGGAGAGAGAAGGAGGGAGGAAGAGAGAGGGAGGGAGGGAGAGAGAGGGAGGGGAGGGAGGGAGGGAGGAAGGAAGGAAGGAAGGAAGGCAGGCAGGCAGGCAGGCAGGCAGGCAGGCATTGAAGGAAGGAATTGAAATATTTACAGTTCACTCCCCAAACGGCTGCAACATTTAGGGCCAGGCCAGATCAGACAGGAGTCTGGAACTCCATCCGGGTCTCCTACATGGGTGGCAGGGGCTCAGGTGCTTGAGCCATCTTCCAGTGCTTTCCCAGGCACGTTATCAGGAAGCTGGATCAGGAGCAGAGTCTCACATGTGGGTGACATTATCCAAGCACTTGAGTGATCACCTGCTGCCTTCCAGGGTGCACATGAGCACGAAGCTGGAGTTGAGAGAGGAGCCAGGATTTGAACTCGGCACTCTGATGTGGAATCTGTCTCAAGAGGTGTCTTAACCCCTTGGCCAAACCTCACCCCTCAAGATGCTTTTGGAGAGACCCTCTTATTTGTATATTTTTGTCCCCAAAGCAATTAGTATGCCATTCAAGGTTTTTGACACTGGGATCAAATGTGCATATTTGGAAATAAGACCATCCGAGAGGGTGATTGTACCATCCAAGATCAAGAGGGCACCCGGGTGACCCTTGAAAGTCTATGTGCACTGTGTGAATGCGAGAGACAATGTGGGTTAATGGTTTGGAGAGTGGGTGCTAGAGCCAGGCTTCCTGGGTTCAGAGCCTGGCTCTACTATTTACTGTAAAATCTTCAGCAAATTATTTAGCCTCGCTATGCCTCAGATTTTTCACCTAAAAAGTGGGAATGTCCGGAGTACCTGCTTCTTAGGCAGGTTCAGTGCATTCATACAAATGAAGCACTTAGAACAGTGCCAGGCATGTGATAAATGCTCGGTGAGTGTTAGCTACTGTTAATGACGTTTTTCTTATTGTGATGACGATGAGGGCGATGATAATATAGAAGAGAGGCATAAGAATAGGCCCAGGAGTTGACCATGTAAAAGCAATGGTTCTCCAACGGAAGGAAGACCTTTCTGTCTGTCTCTCTCTCTCACTGTCTAACTCTGCCTGTCAAAAAAAAAAAAAAAAAAAAAGCAGTGGTTCTCAACCCCGATTGCAAGGCAGTTTACGTATCCCTAGAGAGCTTGTAGAAGCATCAACACCGGACCTCACTTGGGGCCATTAAGTGTGATGTTTGGTCACGGCACCAGGGCATGAGCGTTTGTAGGCTGCCCAGACCAGTCTGCTGTACATTCGAATTGTGAATCGCTCGCTGTCAAACTGGAAGCCCTGGCCCAGAGGTGCAGAGAAGGAAAACCGCACAGTGAAATCTGAACATGGCTACACCCTTAGGGATTCAGGAATGTTACTGTGGTTCCTGCAGGAGAGGCAAAAGCAAATCCCCTCCGCGTGTTCCAGAATAGCCCCCAGGGGCCTCTGCGCATCCTGCTCCTGGCCCAGCATCTGACGCTCAGCTTGATCTGTCATCTGTAAGAGAGCCAAGGATCCTGGGAGGTCAGAAGCTGGGCACCAGCCAGACTGTTAGGAACCCAGCTGGCGTCTACCTATCAGGTGATGGATTACATATCACCAGTCTCATGCCCGAAGGAATCAATCTACCAGCAAGGACTTGTGGAGCGCCTCTGTGAGACCAGCGGCGTGCCAGGTGACTGGAGGGCAGTGTGGCTGCTCTGGGTAGGGGGAGCAAGTTGCTAAGGGTTTGTTTGCGCTTTCTGTGGAGCCAACTCAGGCTTGCTAAGTGGTAATTGACAGTCCTTTCTTCTTAGGAACTTTCTCTTGGATTTGCTGCCAATAGGAAGTGTGTTCTTTCTCAGGGCACTGTAGCATTCATTCATCGAGTGCCCACTCAATTATGAGGAATGACAGAGTTTGCCATCTGCGAGAGGAAAGACCACTTAATGATTCCTAGAGTCAGAAGTCCGGAATCAATGGACAGGAAGATCAAAGAGTTAAGGGGATTCTATTGTGATTGGAGAAGTTCTTTTAGCAGCGGCTGGGGCTCCCACTGAAATCTTCAAGGAGCCTTGAGTGCCTTGTAGATTCCCAGGAAAAGGAGGCTTTGGTACCTAAAGGAACAGTGATCTGAGCTGATAGGATGACAAGGCCCCAGGTGGTGGGTTGTTTTGCTAAGCTGTGGGGGAACAGAGTTAAGACCTGGTAGAAATTGACATTCTATTTT